CACCCCCTCCCCTGCCCTCATCTCCCCAGCCACTCATTCCATCATAGAAGGCTATCAGATTGGTCAAGCATGATTTCCCTTTGGTGAATCTATGCTGATTACTCCTGATCACCTTCTTCTCCTCCATATGCTTAGTGATGACCTCCAGGAGGAGCTGTTCCATCACCTCTCCAGGGATGGAGGTGAGGCTGACTGGCCTGTAGTTTCCTGGATCCTCCTTTTTGAAGACTGGGGTGACACTGGCTTTCTTCCAGTCCTCAGGCACCTCTCCTGTTCTCCAGGACCTTTCAAAGAGGATGGGGAGTGGCCTAGCAATGACGTCTGCCAGCTCCCTCAGCACTCGTGGATGCATCCCATCAGGGACCATGGATTTGTGGATGTCAAGTTTGTCCAAATGATCTCTTACCCAGTCCTCCTCCACCAAGGGAAAGTCTTCCTTTCTCCAAACTTCCTCTCTTGTCTCCGGGGTCTGGGATTCCTGAGGGCTGGCCTTAGCAGTAAAGACTGAAGCAAAGGCAGCATTCAGTAACTCTGCCTTCTCTGTATCCTGCATCACCAGGGCACCCACCCAATTCAGCAGCAGGCCCTCATTTTCCCTAGTCTTTCTTTTGCTACTGATGCATTGGAAGAAGCCCTTCTTGTTGTTCTTGACTTCCCTTGCCAGATTTAATTCCAAACGGGCGTTAGCCTTCCTTGTTGCATCCCTGCATACTCTGACAACGTTGCTATATTCTTCCCAAGTGGCCTGTCCCCTGTGTAAAACAGGAGGAGAGTGTAGCATAAGAGAGACGGACTTACTGCAGATTCTTCCTCCTGACTGAAATAGGTTGCCATCGTTTCTGTAGGACCTGCAGTGAAATATGCAGCTAAACAGCCTGAGCAAGGACAGTCATGCAAAGCTTAGAGAATTCATTTTTCACGTGAAAATGCATATGGTAAGAAGCAGCAAATTATCAGATGGCGCTATCTTTTTAAGATCAAATTACTTTTCAGCATTAAGTAATGCAAGTAAAGCATTGGTATACTTCAGCTTTATGGCACAGTAGCAGGTATCTGAATGCCTAATTTCCTTTATCACTTTCCTTACTTTGATCCAATTTAGTTCTTAGGTTAGCCATCTTAACAGCCACCTCACTTCCACCAGTGATAGTATTTATTTAATCTACAGCTTGGTCAAAGGTACTTGACTAGTGAGCAGAAAAAACCTGAAACCCCAAATAGTACCTCTTATTCTAGGAAAGAAAAGGAGGAATCTTTTATTCAGAAATGTGATTGAAGCTCTGCCTAAGAAATTCAGATGCACTTAAATGGAAAATACTTGAAAACTTAGAGTCTGTCAATTGAAATGAAGCCACCTTAACAGGCTCTATCCGCAGCACTCCCAAATCTCCAATTACAAATCAGTGTTGCTGTCTTTTTTTTCTTTCACAGAAGAATAAAGATTGGTTTTTTAGGCATTTAGCCCAAAGTTAACCCAGTTCCATCTAATGATTAACTTTATTTTCTGTTATGTTTAGAGATTTGTAACTAAGATAGTATTTATACCAAGCACAATTATCTGCATTGCCTGAGATCAAACTGCCTTTAAATATGACAGCATCAACAACTCTAAGGATTTTTCTAGTTCCATTAGTTCAATGATTACAGTTTGCTTTATGTATACACAAAAAAATTGTGTTACTGTTTTACACAGCTGGTACTTAGCTATATACTCCATGTAAATTATGAAATCTCAAAAGTCAGAGTTAAATAGCCAGCTTCTAAGGATTTTAAAATAGGGGATTGTAAAAAAGGAAAGTTTTTTCTTCAGTACTGAAGTCTACAGATATAAGCATCTGTGAGAAAACTCAGGAATCATAACTGAAAATTTAGCAATTTCCTGAACACACTGTAAATCAGAACATTTGCAAACATGGTGTGTAATGCATACATAATGACTACACTAATCTGTGAAGCATTTCCTCTTTAAGTACTGTTCCAAAATGTCATATTCATACCTTTGTAAAAAGAACTAAGTTCTTTAAATGATGGAAAGTAAAAGACAGCTTTTTTTTTTAAGGCACAAAGAACTCGCTTCATTACTGGCAGCCAGAGGAAATACTGTTCTGCAAGGCTGGGTTACAGCGTTTTAGTAGAATTGTTGTACTACATAACACACAATAAATGTCCTAAATATGCGTGTAGCATCGAATCCACTACTGTCCCTACTCACACATGGAATAAATGAATATTTGCTGCACTGGCCATATGATAATGATAATACAGGATATGATAAAGATATAACAGATATGATAGTGTGTTTGTGAAGATAAGCCATACAGAGAAAGTTCTTGGAATTTCGGATTACTGGGGAATTTCGCAGTAGAATAAATACAACCTGAAAGAGTCTTCATTATGCAGCAAGGAAATTGAATTTCATTAAACAATACCTTATTTCTTGTTACTTTCCTATAACAGCTCTTTGTATTAGTAGAGCTTATAACCACCACCGTCAGTGGCAGACAGTCATTTTACTTGGATTGATAGAAAATCAGCCTTGAACTGAAAAGGCTTTAAAAATAAAAATAACCCCCAAATCCAAGCCTTAGAATGGTAAACGTATTATGTTTTGTATCTGCTTGTATCTATAGATATTGCGTTCATATCTTTCTCTTTTGCTTTTTTATATTTAGAAATGAAAATTTTACTTCCAGTGGAAAACTAGAGAAGCTATGCTTAATTAACAGTCATATTCCCCTTTAATGGATACTCTGTAAATATAAAGAAGAATTACTTGAATTAAACAGTGTTGACCCAAGAACAAATGGACCAATTGGCTATATATAAGCGCAGAGAATCACAAAATTATGACCACCATGGAAGCTAGTTTTAAGAAGTGTTAATTAAATGGTGCATGATTGATTGCTTGCAACAGAATGAGATGGGAGCTGTTCACACAAAGGTTTTTTCTGTGAACAATACAAGGTCCTGTGAAATATGCTCCCCCTCCCCCCCCAAAAAAAACTAACACAAAAATACCTTTGTTTTGATCACTGTAGCTCATTAAGAATAGAGATCATTACACTGCAATATGTTATGTTATACACTAAAATAATTTTAAGCTACAGTTAAAGAAACAAATGGGAAATTAGTTTGATGTTTAGGAGATAAATGGGGGTTGCAGATGCCTTTCAAAATTATTCTAAATGACTTAGATCTCTATTTTTGTAGAGTTTAATGTTCCTTTTTCAAGAAAAAAAAGCCCCATATTCTGTTTTAAGTTCTTCATGTAAGCTGGAACATTTAGAATACATCTTCAGTAGGAATTAGATTAGATTTTTTTTTTTTAAACTGGAAGAGTGTGGTGTCTTCAGAATTATTCATTGACACTCATCTTCAGCCTGTTATCTGAACTGCCAGCCCACAAAGCATGTGGCTTATGCAATGTTGATTTTTAACATTAACTCCATCAGTACACAGTTGTTCCTTTATATAATAGCTGTCAGAACTACAGGGCACTCTTTTACATTTTAAAATTCATTTACCGTATTTATCGTCTGTGCTAGAAGCTGAAGGGGTGAGCATTTGATAAACCCTGCCCCCCCACCCCCCAAAAAAGGAAAATACAGGAACAACCTACAAGTGCATAGATTCTGAATGTTCACAGAAGTTTTCCTTCCAGGAAAACAAACATACTCAATTTACATTTTTTTGATTTTGGTTTTAGCAGATTTCCAGCAGTCAGCTAAGAAAAGACGAAGAAGAAGAGGAGGAGGAGGAAGATGAAGAAGAAGATGAGGAGGAGGAGGAATTAGATGCTACTAAAGAAGAGAGATAACAGAACTGTTCTAAGTCCAAAGTTTTTTAAGTGATAGGAAAAAGAAAAAAAGAGAATTCCCTTTACCTAACAGCTTGTATGTATTAATGAACATTTTCACTGAGGTTGTATTTTTAAAATTCCAACAGCAGCAAGAATTTTGCAATAATAGCGCACTGTGTTCTGCAGACAACAAATAAGCAGTTTTGAAGAATGGAAAAAATCTGCTGAAAATGGACAATTTCAGTAGACAAAAAACAAAACATTTAAATAGAATCCTATGTTAGATTTGCATAGATGTTATACTGCAGTCATGATTGCATACACTTTCATGATGAACAGTGTCCAAAAACTGCACTAAGCTGACAAGCAGTTATGAACGCAGGGGTGTGCTTGTCACTTTGCCAAAATATTACCTTATTCTCTAGAGACACACCTTTTGGGTTGTCTTCTAGCTATACATGCTATACTGGTTGTTCTACATCCTAAAATAACCGTAGTACCCGAATAATCAATTACAGCAGCAATCCTGCTACATTTCATTATCTACTCATGGATGACAGAAGGCTGAGTGATAAATACTGTTTTCTCATTTTTATTTTCCCCAGGCTTGACTGAGCTGATTTTTAATGGATTCCTTTACATGTACAGAATGACGCATGAACAAAAGTATAAGGGTCTGGCCCAACATCTACTTTTCATACTGCTTTGCTTTTAAATAAAAGTGCCTTCATAATAAAACTATTTTTTATAGTTGACATTTTATATACAGTTCAAGTTTACATGTTTGACTAAATTGGTTGATTAAGTTACCAATTCTATCAAACACGTAAGAAATTATACATTTTGAGTATGTTTTTATCTTATTTGGAAATGATGCTTCCTCATGTTTACTTTTGAATAGGATGTAATTGTCTGCCAGAAAGCTGCTGCCATAGTCTAGATATAATAAAAAATTACAGAAACTATCTCTGAACTCCTTCAGAAGGAGTTCTGAATAAAAGAGGAAGTAGTGTTTAGGTTAGTTCCCACTAAAAGATTAGTGGCCAGGGTGCAGAAAGAAGAGGAATTTAGAATGTAATTACAGAACTACTCAAACTCCTACTGACAAATATTTTCAGTCATCCTGTCAAAGAAATAGAAAAATCATATATTAAGTTGTCAAAGCAAAGACTTGTTTCACTCTTGAAATGTAGAGGAGACAAATTTTACATACGCCTCCCTCCCCCAAGTACTTTCTCACAACTCACCTTAACAGTTGACCATAAATCAAGGTCAAAACTAGAACAGCTGTACATCTCTGAAACACCAGTTCTTCACACATACTTTATACAACAGTTAAATGGAAATGCTTACTTTGAAGCAATGTTTTGAGATAAGATTTTGTTTGTGAAAAAGCCAGTCTCAAATTCAGAAATACAAGCATTCTATATATATGCATGAAATCTCCCAGCTACAAGTTAAAAAAACCTCAAATAAATAAATAAATAAATAAATAATATTGATCAGGAGAAATATAAAAGTCTAAAACAGACATTTTTAAAAGTGTCAGGTCTGAAATACTTTATTTTTCTACTTTAAAATTTTCCTCAATATTCTTCTGAGATTTGCTACAGATGACTTCTCTCATTTACTAAGAAAATCCGAACATGTAAGATAGGGCCTTCACCACACCTACTCTCAGACTATATACTGAATAAGTACATCTTCCTCGAGTTTTGTTACCCCTGCACAACCACTACAGGGAAGAAAACAAAACAAAACAAAACCCTCTTTCTGCATCAAAGGATGATTTAAGAATATGGAAGATATTAAACATTGCCTAAAGATACTTCTGCAGAGATTTTTCTCATGGGCTTAACTGCTTAGTGCAAGACTTACGCGACCCTATTAGTTTGTATATATTTCTGACCACTGGGGACTACATGATGCAGGCTTTTATCAGTTCTTGTAACGTGTATTTTGCTGCTCCACTGAAAATGCTGGGCCATCTATCTGGGACTAGGATCACCTTGTTGTCCTCTTCAGATTATCAGATGTTAAGGATCTCCTGAATGCCTCAAGCTGCTTTCATAAATGATCGCTCTTACTAGTTTCTAAAGAAGAAAGGTCTGCAGCATCAAATCAGAACTTTTGGACAACTGTAGCAAAAGCAACCTCAGATTGAGAGTGACTAGGAAGCTAGATATATTTAAGATTAACAGCACAAATTGCATTTTTTTGTTGTTTTTCTTTTACTGTAATGCATGGAACTTAACAAAGAGCAGTAATTCACCAACTTCAAACCATGTAATTCCAGGTAGAAAAGTTTCCTAGATTCATCCTTTACACTGAGAGTGCCTCCAAACCATTAAAACGTCTAAAGTTAGAAAACCCTTATTATCGGGAATAAGGAACAACAGGACATGCTATCACCACTCTATGCACTTGTATCATCCTAAATCAGGTTTCAGTGAAAACTGTATGTGCACATGCACACCCCTAACAAAACCTACTAGGCAGATAATAGCTGCAAAGTTTAGAATCTACTGTCCCAGGAACCTTCTTGATAAATGACTGATGTATATACATTCTTTCCCAGTTTCCTTCTGCTCCAGATCATCTACGCATACTTGGAAGAAGTACAGCTCTTGGTTTTATGGACCTTAAAAATTTTGTTTTGATCTGCCAACCAGACATTTCATAGATTAATGTATAAGAGTCATAAGTTGTAATTTGGCTTTAAAGCCAAATTAGATATAGGGCAGACAAAAACAACCTTAAATCACACAATTATGACCGCTGCCACTATGCGTTCTGTGTCCGGTTTTGTGAAAAAAATGCAGTTCCTCCTCCCTAAAATTAATGGTACTTTATCAGAACTTACTCACACTTTCTGGAGAACAGATAATGTCACTGAGATAGGCTTTTCCTAAAGCAAAAAAACTCAAGCCACAAACACACTAATAAGATTTCCCCTATCCCTCCAAATTCCAAATCTTTTTAATTAAAGATTTTTATTTTGTGTAACATCTCTATTCTAGAAGCCAGGCTGAAATTTTAACGCTGTAGTTTTTGTGTTTGAAGTTACTAGCTGGAAGAACTTTAAAAACAACAAATCATTGAAAGCTGATTAACTAGAGGAGAAATGAGCTACATCCAGTTGATAATAAAGAAGCAAGAATTCATAGTAAAGATGATGTTAACTTACAACAAAAATCACACTGAAGTTTTCAACTGCATGATTAGGTCAAACAAGTTTATTCTGAGGATTCCTGATAACAGATGTCTTTATTTTTCCTGCAAAGTCTGTTAGCCTTGTGTTTATTGACCTTTTTAGTGCAACTGGGAAGAAAAAGCACCAAAATTTTTAAAATCTCTTTAAATTTGAGGGAGCATTCAGAACACAGTACAATTCTGAAGCTGATTCCTACTAGACTGTATCCAAAATTTGAAAATCCTGCTACCTTTAAGTTTCTTTGCTCTAAGGAATCTACACATGCAGAGCTGACATTACTATTTTCTTTTAAAATACTTTTTTCGTAGTACTTGTAACAGACAACAAATAAAATGCAAAAGAACTGAAGCTACACTAGTCTTTTAAAAGTTATACAATAAAAGGTCTCTTGTTTTTTGGTTTGTTTCTACTCAAGAGTTTATACAATCATCTGGTAATTAATGATGACTTCAGATGCAAGAAGTAATTTAAGGTTTGACTGCCAGTGAGGGTGATCACTGGAACAGGCTGTAGAGTTGCTGAGGTTGTGGAGTCTCTATCCTTAGAGATACTCAAAACGCAACTGGAGAAAGCCTTGAGTAACCTGCTGGAGTTGGCCCTGCTGTGAGCTTCGGGGCTTGACTAGATGATCTCCTGAGGCCCCTTCCATTCTTAACTAGTCAATGAATCTATGATTTTTGGTATCACCTGAACAAAGGTTAATGCTACAAGTTTTCACCACTGTGTTGCAAGTTTGCTGGCTCAGTTTGAAGATTGCGTTTCATAAAATTCTTTAGTACTCCAAATACTATCTTGTATAACCTCAACGTCAACAGTGTGCAAAGTCCTTACCTACACAACCAAAATAAGTTTCCTACTGAGCCTAAAATTTTAAAGCAGAGTTTTTCCCAAAACAGGTCAACTTATTTCATGTTAAAATTTAAATATGCTGGCAAAAAAGTTAGAAAGCATTGTAAACACAGAAATAAATATCTTCTTATGTAAGATAACTGCCACCTTGGTTAAGGTGACAGACTAATTTAATTAGAGTGACCTGGTATGCAGTCAGACATCACTGGCAAGTTGATATTCATATAACAAGTTTGTCATGATGAAACAAAGACCACCCTGAAACCTCAGTCTGAAGCCCAAACGCTTTACCTGTCTCCAAACATTCATTTTCTGCCTCAAGGTATTTCACTGTGTGAAGAGACCAAGAAAGCCTGTCATACTGAGTAATACAGTTTTGGAGTCACTGTAACCTAACTAGTCCCTGCTAGGCTGACAAGTTCATTCTTCCCACAGAAAACAGCCAGTATCCTTCTCACCAAGATCCATGTATAATGAGTGAGGTAGCTGAGATCAGTAACTATACAAATTTTAAACATAAAGACACACATTTAGTGGCTTTTTTTTTTTATTTATTTAAAAAAGTTGCAAGCCAGCAAAGCCAGCTAATATGAACAGGAAGCTCTTAATTCCCCCCTCCCCCCTCATTGAGATGCCTGTAACCACAGGAAACTGAACCAAGATTGAACAGTTTACACAAAAAAAAAAAAGTCTTTTTTTTAAGCTATCCTGAATAAAAAGTGTAATTTACTAATGCAGGCAGCACTGAAGTTTTTCTACTTGAACCGTTTGTGTGGTGAATCATTCAGCACTTACACTTTTATTTGATGAAAAGTCATGGAACATGGATTTAAAGAAAACTGGGGGGAGGGAAAGAAGGAAAAAAAAAAGGAACATTGCAACTCCATGCTTTTATACCTTGATATTCAGTGTCCTCCAGAATTTCTGGGTTCTTCTCTGCCACAAGAAGAGGACACGATACAGTTCTCAGAGATCTTAGCCATTCAGATATTTCAATCAAGAACTAAACAACTAAACTGGATACTATTTACAACCGTTGATGGAAACTGTTTCTTCTGCATCTTCCAGTAATTAAAAAAAGTGAAAATAATTGTCAATACTGGCAAATCTAGAATATTTTATTCTAGAGCATTTTTCCTCCTTTAGAGCAAACTCAACTTAACTTTCCGTGGACCAATTGGCCTATCATTCAGTTCATTAATAGCAGCCATAGCTTCCTCATAGTTTGTCATAGCAACAATGGCATCACCAGAAGGCAATCCTTGCTCATTATACTGTATAGAAACTGACTCTGGTATGACTCTGTAGCCATAGAAAAAATCCAGAATCTCATTAGGAGTAGCTTTAAATGGTAAATTTTTCAATCGAATAGGAACAACGCGTTCAGAACCGCCACCGAAATTTGGATCCGGCATAAATCTTCCTTCAGGAAAACTTCCCATTTTACTGCTTCCAAACTCCATTCTGCCAAAAGGTTCACCATCACCACCAAAATCCATGAGTGGTGGAGGACCTCTAAAATCCTCAGGAGGGCACATGAAATCCTCAGGGGGGCGCCTAAATTCAGAAGGATGCCTAAAATTCCCAGGGGGACCAAATGAACGCATGGGTGGTCCCTGTGGTGGTCCAGAGGGTGAACCAACTGGACGGGAAAGCTCACCTCTGTCATATGCCTGTGAATGACCCTGCATTTCACTTGGCCCAGACAAGGGAACAGTTACACCGAACTCCTGCATCTGCTCTTCAGATATAAGTCTTAATAATACCTCCGTTCCCAAGAACCGTCGCCGATTTAAGCTTTCTGCTTTCACGGCTTGTTCTTCAGACTTAAACTTCACTAATGCTTCTCCCAGCCCAACTCCTTTGTCATCATAGAGCAAGTAAATATCATCTTCATCAATATCAAATCTTGCAAAAAACTTCTGCACTTCAATTTTTGTCACATCAAATGGAAAATTTCTTACATAAACACATATTTTAGGGCCAGAATGACCTTCCTGATAACTTTTTTCCTGTATGGCTTGTCCAGGATGATCTCTTTCCTGGGATCGTTTCCTCTCACAAGAATCAATTATTTTCAACATTGATCTTCTTGAAATCGGAAAAATGTAAACAGGACGATTGAGAAGAACCTTTCTATGATATTCCAAGGCAGCCTGATAATCTCTCTCACTCCTTAACATCACAAAGGCATCTCTAGTCCTCCTCTGATGTTTATCCATTAGGAACTTGATTTGTTTGCTGCAAATATCCAGATCAGGGAAAAAAGCTCTCAGATCTCTCTTCTCAAGACTAGTAGATAGATTTCTTAAGTGTATGTAATATTCCTGGGTGGGAGGTGAACGAGAACGCGTTCTTTGTCTCCTTGGTGATCTTGAGTGAGAATGCTTCCTTGAATGCATGTAGCCTGCACTTCTTGTTGGAGAATGTTCTTTGCACAAAAAGCGATCCATTTCACTTGTCATGTCTACCCTCCCACCATATTCAATCCACCGTTCTTCTGTAGATGGTCTTATTTCTATAAACCTCTGACCCATGTATTGTCTATGGCGTTTGAGTCCTTCTAAGGCATCACCAGGCGTGGCAAATTTTACCAAACAATCACCATTGTTTAAGCCATTGCGATGCTTTATCAGAATCACTCCATCGACACGTAACCCAGAAAGGAAAGCACGTACTCCATCTTCTGTTGCAGAGTAGGGTATACCACGTAGAAACAAGTAAAGATCATCTGGATTAAATGGATGAGAATCTTTTCTTGACTGGTTATAGCTTGATTTAGGTATACCTGCATCACCATGTCTTGTGCCATTGGTATGGAAACCAACCTCTGGATGATTTGGCGGACCATAACTAGATTTGCCCATTCCTTTTGTAATAGCTGCAACTATATGTGAAATGTCTCCAACGCCTGATGAACCAGAATTATTAGTACACGTTCGTCTAGACCCAGATATAGTTTCTCGTCCCCCACGATCAAATCGTTTCCGGCTCATTTCTATGGTATTCTGCATTTCTGTCTTGCTGCTGAGAAAGAGCTCTATGCGTGAGTCCTTGATAAACCCTCCTGAACAGCTCATCGCACGCCGTGCATCTTCATCTGTTGCAAATATAATAAAAGCCTCCCCAATTTCTCCTCCAATAATATGCACACCTCCATCAGGAATATTCAATCCCAAGAAGAAACGACGAATATCTGCAGGACCCGCAATAACAGGAAGCCCCTGTAAACGGATGACTACAGCCATGCTGAGCTCAACCCACAGCAAAAATCACCTGCAGACAAAAAGGTACACATGATAGCACGTCTTTAGTACTCAGCTATTACAGTATCTTAACACTTAAGCTAGAGCCTTTTTAATGAATGGCCTTGTCTCGATCAAGAGAGAAGGCATCAAACAAAAACTCACGAGTTCACACAAGAATAAGATTAAAACAGCATTCACTGAAAGTGGATTAGTCAGAACAATTAGCTACTCCACCTGCACATGTGCACACATCTATCAATATTCCTTATCCTAAGGGCAACAAAATCCACCTAAGTCACTCCTCACCATCCACAATACATAAGGAACACCTAAGTCTTTCAAGGTATAATTACTGTATGCCAGAGCTCTCTGTCTAATCCTAAGGAACAAAAAATTCCTGTTTACTTTTGATCAAGAGACTTGCTATTATAACGCAGAAAATTCTTGATGATAAAAGAAGAAAAAATAACAACTACATCACTGAGAAATGAAGCAATTCACCAACAATGACGACTTTAATGCTTTCTCAAGTTGCTCTACCCAGTGATCAGTTCTGTTCAATAACGTGTATATTTTCTCAGCGTTCAAAAACGTTGTCTCTTTCATGTAGTCAGAGTATTAACTGCAGCAGCCACATGCGCTCAGGAGAGTATGTCCTATTTCCCAGTCACACGTCTGTGAGAAAAGGCCTTGTGTGATCTTTTCACAATACTCAGTGAAAAGCGTTAAGCTTTTGGCAGCTTACCTGTTTCTGCTTGGAAGACCTGATAAATTCTGTAAAATCAACTTAACTGTGGAAAGAAAACGAAACATAATTAATGGCTGATATCCGTACTTTGGTTTACACACTGTGCTACATTGCTGCAGCTCATCCATAGCAGTGGCTAATAATAAAGCCAAGCACTGTAATGGAACCACAGTTTGGGGTACCATGAAGAACTCCTTCCTTGTTCCAAGGGAAAGACAGTAAAATGCTATGCATTGCATCTTTGTGTCTCCGTTTTAGAAGCAAAGAGCATTCAAAAGTTAAGTTGACTTCTGCAAACGGTGAAAATACGCTGAGGTTATCTCATCAACTGTGCCACACTGAACTGTTGAAATGAAACAGACTGATCGTAAAGTGAGGGGAACACCCTCAATTCTTGGGAGTCCTTGAATGATGCACAAGTCCATCTCAATATTACTGTACGTGTCCATTCTTCTGAAGTCCACCTGCTTTTAAAGTTCACAACAAGAGTATGCTACTCACCATTCCAGCATTGCACTTAAGGGTACACAGTGAAGACAATTGCATGAAAGAGCAAAAAGAGTCAACAAGGAGATATTTCAGTGACTACTTCAATTTACAAAGTAGAGTTCACTATTTTCCCTAAATGCATACTGCCTTTCAAATATAAGAATCACTTAACAAACTAACTTCCATGCATCCCAGTTTTTTAAATTATCATCTAGTGTCATATATACATAGAACGCTACTCTCTCAGAGCAACGACAAGCCTCCAGACAAATGGCTGCATCCCTTCAGAAAAAAAGCCCAAGACCTTGATGACAAGTATCTGAGAATATTCCTTGGACAAAACTCTTGCTCAATAACAAGTGTCATGACACACTAATGAATGAAGATTTCTGATGCACAGTTATCTGTTGATCACAGTAACTAATCGCTCCTCCTGAGCTTACAAAACAAGTCGGAGAAGCCCCAGTTTTTTAACTGATTCTATGTTGCTTCTAGGTCAGCACTGTATAAACACAAACTGAAGACAACTGCCTGTTTGATAACTGCAATGAAGATCATCAGCTCTCCGCATCTTTATAATCGATCTTCTCAACAGATATGGTAGCAGTGCCAACAAGCAAGGAGAGAACTCAAGGGCAGAATTTTTGTACAGAACCTTCGTTTCTTGGAAAATCAAATCCGCTGGCCTGCTATTTCATGATGTCTGAAATCTGTAGCATGTCTGAATTTTGCAACTCTGTATTCCTATCCCAATTTTTACCCAGCATTCAGAACCAGATATCCTCAGTACTTCTTAGGTGGTAAACGTCAAGTCCTCCACGACGGCCCACGGATACAGAATACAAATTGCAGTGCTCAAACAAGACACACCGATTCAAGATCATAACGTGATATTTAAGAAGTCCATAAACAAAAATACCAAAAATACAAGTTCGGATAATAGGCTTTAACTAGCTGTGCATTAAGCAACGAAGAAGCGAAAGCCAACACAGACAACCAGTGCAACTGTTTAAATGAATGACCTAAAAGTGACTTTTAGGATGAAAATATCTCACAAGACAAAAACCAGATCATCAACTGAGCAAGGCCTTCAAAGAACAAGTGTTTAGATAATAAACAGATGGCCTCATGCCAACACTTTAAAAGCACAGAAAAGTGCACACTAATGCTTTAGGAAATTCTGTATTTAAGCTGAGCTAACTAGAAAGTCGTACTGTGCCTGCCTACACTTCCACAGCCTTTGCAGAGCACATTGCAAATGCTATTAAAACTTCATACCACCTCACTGAAAAAAAAAAGCCTTCAAATATTTCATGAAAATAGGACTGCACTAGACTAGCACTTTTACTACCGGATAGAAAGATTACACAATCTGTATGCAATGAAGCCAACAGGAACACCCACAGAAATACCAGAAGCATAAAACTGAATTTTGATGAATATGTGAGTTAAGAATATGCTGGGTCAGGGAAGGATTGTTTATTCTAATCTTCTCCAAAACAAGCCTCAATAGTCAAAGTAAGTCACTGGGAGTGAAAGCCTCCAACACCGCTGAAGGCAGACGGGAGGGTGCCCTGCAGCTGGGCGGCCGCAGGGCCGGTTCCGAGCGCTGCTCCTCGGCGAGAGGCCG